CTTTCATACAAAAAAATATATACATAATAATAAAAATAATAATAATAATAATAAATAAATAATAATAATAATGATAATAATAATAACAATAATAATAGTACAATTTCCTGTTAAAACAAATTATTTGTTTTCATGTTTTTTTCTTGATTTGCAAACCAATGGCCTGGCGTCTCAGCCTGAGGATCAGTAGAGCCACAAACTAAGACCTGGCCCTTTAATTGGTTTAAGCTTATAGAACAAAATTCATTTTGTTGTAGTTTTGTTGGACAAACGTTATGTTGCCTTTTGCTTGCCGCAATATCTGAAGTATGACGGTTAATTATTTCTCTCGCCTGAGTCAGCTGGATCAAAACTGCATAAATTGACTGTGTTAGTGGTACAATTGCTCACAGTACTGTCACCATAGTAACATGTTGTCCTTCTAAATCCCGCGGCCATTCTGTATTGAAAATATATAAGCCCTTGAGTATTTGTATAAGATTCCTGCAGTGCTCCGTATCTAACACTGAAGATACTAAAATCTGCAAGCTGTGAAGTATCAGAGCCCATACTTCATTGTAAATTGTAATTGCTGAGCTAGAAGTTGCTCGACAATAAACCAGACATTAAAAACAAAAATAAATTTTCTTTGAACCTGCGTTTTTATATGCATTATTGTATGAAGATTTATTAGACCATTAACTAGAAGTTTTAGTTGTTTTTATTATAGAGAGCAGAATAGCCAGTTTTCAGTTCTGCCCAGCCAGGTGTTTGTGTGTGTGTGTGTGTGTGTGTGTGTGCAAGTGACTGGTGATTGGAAGGTCATAAACAAGTAATAAACTTCAGCTCATCGATTTTTGAGGGCAGTCACATAGAGACATAAAAAGCACATACAGTATCCTAAGACTATGTGCTAAGCTGCACATGACACATACAAAGGCACACACAGAGTTTACTCATATCTAATAGTAAAAGTTAAGAGTGAGTGGTGCACTAACTGTTCAACAACTCAATAAATGTCCTGTCTCAACCCCCCCCCCCCAGTTCCCAGCTCCTCCCCCAAAGATGTGACCGTGGTGAGCAAAGAGAACAAGCCTCGCACCATAATTGTCAACTGGCAACCTCCCTCTGAGGCCAATGGAAAGATCACTGGTGAGTCTCTCTTGTGTGTTACACATTTTAAAATATAAATCTCCAGTTCATCCTATATATGACATACAAAATTGTCGGATTCTTGACTGAAATAAAGTCATATTTCTAACTTGTCTTTGATTTGAACCATTTAGACCTCTTTCTAACAACTCTCCATTAAACACTGACTAATGCAATCACATTAAGTTGAGAATTGATGTAAACAAAATGATTACGCATGTAAAATCCAAAAGAAAATGTTTTTTCCTTTCACTTTTCAGACATTTTATGCAAGTAGTGGTCAGAGAACAACATCAATCTCCCATCTGTTCACTGCACTGCAGGCTTTTACTAAAAGTAGATGTAATGCGGTAAATTATATGAATCCAATAAAGAGTGCGATACATGACTGTGATTGTGCAGAACAAAAACATTGTAGTTTCACAGCAATAAAGCCTATGAACATTAACATATTTGTCTCTATCTTTCTGCCCCTCCCTGTTGTAGGCTATATAATTTACTACAGTACAGATGTAAACGCTGAGGTCCACGACTGGGTTATTGAACCAGTCGTGGGCAACCGCCTGACCCACCAGATCCAGGAGTTGACGCTGGACACCACCTACTATTTCAAGATCCAGGCCCGAAACTCAAAGGGCATGGGCCCCATGTCTGAGGCCGTACATTTCCGCACTCCTAAGAGTAAGTTTGAAAGACGAGGCGAGATGGGAACACGATAAGGACCAGTGGTGCAATGAAACTGCATCCACCCCTTTTGCCAGTTCAAGTGTGATTTGATATGTAAAAGTATATAATCCCAGTTTGCACTTCAAGAGTCATATATTGTCCTCAGGAGGTTGGTAGGACTCCTGAAGAGTTAAATGGAGAGAGAATGAATATTGGATTTACATTAGTCAGGTCACCAGAAACACGACTCCAAATGAATGCTAATTTTACTGCGTGTCTGCTTGATGTGTAAACAGGCAACTGTTTGCTGAAACGTCCTACAGCTCTGCTTAAGACAACGTAGAGGGCGGAGTTGGTGGGGCCGTGGTGTTTAAACCTACTACAAGGAGTTTTTAACTGATTATGAAACAGCCTTAGTTTAATTCTAATGCTTCTTTATGACCTGCATATATAAACAAGCGCATCCTCGAGAAGATGTTTCTATGTAGTTATTCTTAATNNCCCTTGAAATCAATGAAATGAGGTTGTAGAAACACTACCACTTTTGCCCGCAGGGGCCGTTCCTTGTTGCTGCTTTAATTTACCATTGAGACGATGAAAAGCAATCCAGGAGCTCCAGTTTTAGTGACATGCTTTTAAATGTTTATCAGACATCACATTTCATGCCGAGCTAAAGTTGGACTATAACAGTTACTCTGCCCTCATTTGATGTGACCAAAACAATCTATTAATGCAGCTTTAAGATTTGACTTTCACTGGCACAACAAAGGTTTGCATAACGGTAGTTAACGTAGATCTTCATATAAAATGGCCTGTTTTGAAAACACATCAAAATCCCAAGTTGATGATGCCCAACAGTGTGCTGCTCTCCAAGGATGCATTTTCCCCTATTAACTTTCTCCCATATGATGTGCCAGTTCTGACTTAAATACATTTCCTAGTTAACACTCTCCTGATGGAGTTTGCTGTGAGAAAGCCTCCTGAGAGCTGAGGCAGAGATGTTTCCCAAGCCTTGTTGATTGCTTGGGGATGATCAAATTACTTCAAAGTCTGGTCAGCAAATCTGTACCCAGCACCAAATGTAAAAAAGCTATTTTAGGTTCAGTTTGACAGTGCTGCATACACCTTGTTTTGTTCTTGTCTGAATATTTTGACAGGGATGCACTATTTACTTAAAATCAATGTGTTTAATTGTACTATTTATAGAATATTTTTAATATAGATTCTCTGCTTTTAATGTCAGCTTGGCTGTGTCTGTAGTACACTGTTGCTGTTTGGTTTTCTCACGATTTTTCATTCTTCTAGTTTTTGCTTCTTTCCTCCTCCTACTTTCCTCCTCACAATCCCCATCTCTCGCTTTATTTGTCTCCCTCGCTGCTCTTTTCAGCTAACCTGTTTTTTGCTTTTTATTGTCTCTCCCTCCCTGCTCTCCTTTGGCCTGTTAAGCTGAGTCCTCTGACAAAATGGCTAATGACCAAGGTAAAATCCCCCTCCACACTTTATCTTTCACAGCTGACTCTGCACCTCGTGTATCTCTCTTTCCAAAGATTTCCTCCTTCTAGGCTGATGAAACCTTGGGCTGCATGTCCGGCGAAATCTATTTGTGCTTGTAGAAATGTTAAAGATTATAATGTATCTCGTGAACTTTTGACAGATAACTAAATATCATAGTAGATGAGGTCATAAAAACACGTAAGGAGAGTTTCATTATAACACATTTTTTTCATTTGAATCAGCTTCAAATCTTCCACCGAAGCCAGGGCCTTCAGGAAACCAACATCCACAGGACCATGGAAATGCAGTTGGTAAGATTTTCCTCCCACCCACTTTTTATTTTGAAATTTGCAATTTGAACCGACTTTTTGGGTCAATATTTTTGATGTAGCGAAATGTGCCGTGTTTTCTTGGTAGTGACTCATCAGTGTCTTTAAAGATGTATTTATAAATGCATCCAGTCTAATCCATTCTTTCTCCTTTTGAGATAAATCAGGGGTGGGAGGCAATACTGAAAATCACATCCTGGTCATTGTCATCATCGTCTCAGTGGGAGCCTTCACCATCATCGTGGTGGTGGTTGGGGCCTTCCTGTGCACACGGCGCACCACGTCCCACCAGAAAAAGTATGGAGCTCAGTCACACTGTTCCCCTTCTTGTCCTCTTTTTTTTTGTATCTCAATTCTCAGTGCTCCTTTCTATCTGCTAACTGTGTTACCAACAGCCCAGCTCCCTCCTGTGTTCTTTGTTCCTTGTACTTTGGCCACTTTGTCACTGTCTCTGTAAATAAGATCAGTCTTTCATCATTACCTCCGTGTTCTCCCCTGCAGAAAGCGTGCTGCCTCAAAGTCCTCAAACGGCTCCCACAAATACAAGGGAAACTCCAAAGACCTGAAGCCACCTGATCTTTGGATTCACCACGAGAGGCTGGAGCTCAAGCCCATGGACAAGTCGCCAGACCCCAACCCAGTCATGACCGAAACGCCAATCCCGCGCACCTCGCAGGACATCACGCCAGCTGACAGCAACCTGGACAGCAACCCCCACCTGCAGCAGCGGCGTAACTCCTACCGTGGTCAGTCTTGCCCCAGGGGGAAGACTTAAAAATGTGATGTTCTTGGAAAGAGATCAAAGTGAAATGTCACCCTTACTGCCTGAGCTTACATGCATAATAACACTGAGCAAACTTCTTAAAGTTTGGCTGGCAGACAGGAAAGTACATTTTGGAAGGTTGACTAAGAAAACAGTTGGTTTTTTAAGGCAGGAAATGTGTT